TGGTTTTAAGTTAAGGGCTAGCTGTACTTCAGGACAACACATTCCACCATTCTACTCCTTTCCATTCCCCCCTCCCAACTACTACACTAATGAAACAGCATAATGAAATAAGAGAGAGTGTGGCAGGCCAAAGATCTTAAAAGGGATATAACTGCAGGCCTGACAGAGTCTGGACATGAACAACCATCCAAGTCATCAACAACAAAACCGACAATCGCACATATCCTAGTCCACAAGCCAGGGGAAAATAGACCCATTCTGTTTTCTGTCCCAATGCCAACTTAACAGCAAGCCAACGGATTCATGGCCATCAATCATCTTGGGATAGATCGGGTTCCATAGGTCAGACCCATTGACTAGTAAGTCTCAACACTAAAAGACAAGGTTGGGGGGGTGTTTGCTCTATCAAAGTGAGGTTCCTGCAGAAGATTTTGAACAACAGAAGACACCCTTTATAGATCAGGGTTGAACTGTAGGGTCCTGGGTGCTCTCTGAACTTGGTTGGTTTTCTGGCAGACCAGAAGTGGGATTCAGCAGGTTCTGACCAGTTCTGGAGAACTAGTAGGGGAAATTTTGAGTAATTCGGAGAACTGGTAAATACCACGTCGGACTGCCCCTGCCCCCATCTCTTCTCTGCTTCCCGAGTCCCAGCTGATCAGAAGGGAATGGGTATTCTTCCCCTGCCACGCTCACCAAGCCAAGCCCACCAAGCCATACCCACAGAACCGCTAGTAAACAATTTTGAATCTCACCACTGTTGCAGATGTTTCATGCCCAACTAGGTAACATCATCTGTGCTAGAAGGGAGGAGCGGTTGGGAGGAGGAGGAAGAGAACTGTGGGATTCTTGGTGCTCTCTGAGCTTGGTTGGTTTTCTTGCAGATGTTCCATGACCCAACTAGGGAACATCCTCAGTGCTGGAAGGGAGAGGGGTTTGTGGAGAGGAGCAGAAGGAGGAGTGTGAGGTTTTTTGTAGACCCAACTAGATTACATCATCAGTGCTAGAAGTGGGGAGGAGAAGGAGGAGAAGGAAGAAGAGAAGGGGAAGGAAGAGGAGAAGAAGAAGGAAGTGGAGAAGGAAGAGGAGAAGGAAGAGAAGGAGAAGGAAGAAGAGAAGGAGAAAAAAGAGGAGAAAGGAGGAGGAATAGGAGGAGGAGAAGGGGGAGGANTCACATACGCGATTTCGTCGACCGCGCTTTTGTGGAACGCGGTTTTGATGGGTCACGGCATAAACAGAGGCATAGAATCAAGACCACGTGGAGTGTTAGTACCTCTTTATAAAGCCCTTAGTAAGGCCACACCTGGGATACGACATCCAATTTTGGTCACCGTATTACAAAAAAAGATGTTGAGATTAAGAGAAGAGCAGCTAAGAGAATTAAAGGCCTGGAGACTAAAACATCTCTTTGGGGGCATCAGTAACTTCCCAGAAGATTAAAAAGCCGTTAAGGAGAATATGTGTAGCTCAGGGTTGACATGAGGGGCCTCTGAGCTTGGTGGCTTTCTTGCAGACGTTTCGTGACCCAACTTGGTAATGTCATCCCTGCCCGGATGATGAATTGTATTAGCACCGATGAGGTTACCCAGTTTGGGTTATGAAATCAAGAAAACAAGCAAACTCAGAGAGCACGGGAAAGCTAAACATCTCATCTGAAGGGACTAGAGAAAATGTTTATGCTACAAACTCTGAACAAATGTTAAGAGTCCCAACAGTGGTGGGTTCCGGGTGGTACGCCGGTACGGGCGTACCGCTGGTAGCTGGGGGCCGCGGCCACCGTACCAGAACAGTATCACCCGCCTGCATTACTTACCGCTTTTTGATGCCAACGGGCCATTTGCACATCCACGCACCATGTGCGGCGCCTGCGCGACCTCCTCCAAGCAGCTGGGTGTCGCAGCGCATGCACCCAACGAGGATGCCCGGCCCCGTCGCAACGGTTGCGACGGGATCCGGAACCCACCACTGAGTCCCAAATCAGACACAGAAGCAACAATGTGTTTTCTTCACCTACTTCTCTTATTTGTGAAGCCGGAGTCCCCTTTGAGATGGGAGGAACATCTGGTCATTAGTAGTTAGTAGTAGCAGTTAGTAGTTAGGATCTGGGATATTCTTAGAAGATATTAATAAAATATCCTGAAGGGGAGATATAGTCCTATCACACACTATCCAAGTTTTTTTAAAAAAACACACAACAAAGAGAATCACAACTAAATTTGCACATAGTTTCCATAATGGGAACAAAATTGTCTTGGAAACAGGTGTTCTCCTAAATCTGTATGCGTGTTTTATTTTTCTTTCTTTGGTTATTAAGGTATGTTCTTGGGATCTTCTCCTCCCTTTGTCAGTTTTTCTGTACAATTGATTCGTTTCGGTCCAGCTTGGAATGACGTTTTTTTCCTCTCTTTTTAGGGCATCAGCTGAATGGGCCACCCTTAGAGAAATATATATAAATATAGATATATATATATAAATAAATATATATATATTAAATAAATATATATAGGAACGAGAACTGTGGGATTACATCTTTAAACATCTCAGTCAAGTGGAAAACTTTTAACGCTCTTTCTGGTTGTTTCGACTGGAAACTTTGTTTAGAGGAAAGTCACGTTCGGCTGGCTTGAAGGACACGGGGTGGAAAACCCAAAATTGTACCAACCATCCGATGAATGAATCAAGAACATTGGACAAAAGGAAAAGAGAAGAGAAGAGAAAATCACGGCGGGAACAAGATTGACTTGGATTTCTACCGTGAACTTGATCTAAAACCATCATAGCTTTTCCCCGATTCGGAAACGCTAAAAGTGTGCCTGTGGCCATCACAGATGGGGTTGCTATGGCAACCGTCACTAAGCATTCTTTATCTGTCATTCCTTAGCTACATAGGGACCAAAGGACATAACTTTTTACCGCAAACTTGTAGTTGTATGTAAATTACTCAGAAGATCTTTCCGTTTCTCTTAGCTGTTCCCGCTAAGACAGCTTTGGGGAGAGATTCAATGAAATAATGTATTAAAAAAAAAACACACACAAAAAACACACACATAAAAAAAACAAAAACTGAAACTCAGCTTCGACGCTTTAAAAAAAAAGGCAAGATAATAGTTCTTTGATACTTCGGAAAGTCTTTGGATATACATTAATTAGAGTCTATGAAACTTTCATATGGTTTTCTTTATAATAGGGATGGACCAAGGGGAGGGGGGTGTTTCGAAGGGGCAGGTTTCAGGGGAGAATATTGTCAGAAGACGAAGAAAAGGGGGGGGAAAATACGGCTCCATGTTTGGGTAAGGAGAAAGAAGGAGAAGGAGAAAAAAAAACTGCACCGTAGAACGAGAGCTTGTTTGTATGAAAAGAGGGAGCCTTCCCTCCCCTACCAAAACCCCTAATAGTTGTACAGAATTTAAAAAAAAAAAAGTTTAAAATACCTATATACCGGGGCAGGGGGGAAGATTAGATGACATAAAAAGCAAAAAAAAAAAAAAGCAAAAAAAAAANCTGAACTGCTGATCTAGCAGTAGCCTGCAGTGCTGCATTTAACCACTGCGCCACCTTAGCTCTTGTGGATGTAACTAAACTAAACTAAACTAAACTAAACTAAACTAAACTAAACTAAACTAAACTAAACTAAACTAAACTAAACTAAACCAAGCATGGAGACCCCGGTCAAAACTTTCCACAAGTCTTAAACGTTTGGGGACCCCTGGTCGAAGCCCCTGGTCGAAGCTTTATGACCCACTGCCGGGAGTCCTTCAGGATTAGGGCAGGACAGAAATATGGCTAAAACCCCCGGCATCTGCCAAGATCTGCCTTCATTGGGCTGACTAAGAAAGGCCTCGTCAAAGACCTCCAGGGCCCTCAACGCAAAAGGCTGCTTCAATTCTGCATTTCTTGATCTGGGGGAGAGCTGCCCCCCCCTTCCACAGGGCATGGGGAAGAGGGCACCGTCTTGGCACCACAGCTAAAAGCACCCCAGAGGGAGCCAGGAGAACAGCCAGGTGGCAGAGTCACCCCCTGGGAAGACCACCATATGTCCACCTTCCTCACTTTGGGCACCTCGGCTAATGGGGCTGCCCGGGGCTCCGTAGCACTTCTGGGTTCTCTGGGGAGAGCCCCTTCCTTTGGGCTCATGGTTCCGGCTGAGAAGGAGCTTGGGCTTGCTTCCCACGCAGGGGGAGCCCTTCTCAAGCGTGAACATCCAGAGGTCCTTTGCCCATGAGCCCTGGCTCGTAGCACTGCCCGGACCCCTCCCCGGAAGCCCCGGGGCATCTTTGGGGGAGGGTCTCAGCACCTACCTGGGTTCCTCTGGCTCTTCTTTGGGAAGCTCTTGGTCCTCCTGCTTTGGGCTGTTGCCTTCAGAGACGGCGTCCACCTGGCTGGCGCTGGAAGAGAGCCACACACAGACCCAGGCCCAGGATTAGGGGTGGGGACACGGGGGGCTACTCCGGGGAGGGCGACTGGGTCAGCCAATGAGCCACAAGTCATCCCAGCATTCAGGGGAGGGGTGGGAGAGGGGATAAGGTGGCTTCATCTGTATGGGCTGATCAGCCGGGGTGGTGGTGGTGGGTCAAGATGACCTCCCCCCACAAAGAAACCTCCCTTCTGCCTTGAATCCAGTGAGCTCCCGACTTGCGATCAAAAAACCAAGCCTGGCAATTTCGGTCATAAATCACGACCGTTGTAAAGCAGGCCATCAGGTGACCAACTACATTTTACGACGGTTTTTTGTGTAGTGGTCATTAAGCAAACACAACAGTCGTTAAATGAGCCCATTGCTGTTTCGATGGAAATTGGAATAAATGCCGGCTTTTTGCAAAAAAATCCGCCTTGAATCGCAGTCACGTGACCCTGGGATGCTGAAACCAGCTGGAAATGCACCGGTTGCCAAGCAACAGCACAGTCGTGGCACTGTGGGATGGGGAGAACCGGGTCTGAAGAACCTTTCGGGGGGGGTCCATAGTAACTTCGAACAGTCCTAAGTGACCGGTCGTAAGCCAAGGATGCCCACAGGTCCCGATGGCCTGGGCACAGGGCGGCCTTGCATGGCTTGGTCCAGCTGTGCCTCCAGCTGCCTCCCGCCCTGCCCTGATGGCCATCGCAGCCCTGGCAGCCCTCGGGGACAAGGGAGGGCTCTCCAACCTTGGCGACTTTAAGACTTGAGGACTTCAACTCCAGTGAGGGATTCTGGGAGTTGAAATCCCTGAGCTTTAAAATTGCCGCGGTTGGAGACCCCAAGTGGGTCGGGTACTGTCAGAGCTACGGCCGGGGGACGGCGACCAGCTGTCGAAACTGCCCACAGGTGAGGCTTCCTTCCCCTGCCGATGGGCAGCCATCCAGCCGCAGGGGCCCAGGTAACCCACCCCTCACCTGCTGAGGTCTTACCTGGCGATGGAGGAGGGAACCCCCGGAGGCCGCTTTCGGAACCAAGCGTGCTGGGAGCGTCGGCTCTGTTCCTGGCTGATGAGCCCGTCCCCCTGGCGGTTGAGGGCCAGGAAGGCCTCCCGCGCCCGCTCCCTCTCCTTGCCCGTCAGCAGGTGCAGCAGCCCCTCCTGGGGAGGGAAGCCAAGCAGGGGGGGGGGGTTCACATGCACCCTCCAATCTTCTTGCTTTTGCAGGGATGGGGGTGCCTTCCTGACTCCTCTAGGGGAGGGGGTGGGGAAAGAGGGCCAGACCTCCCCCCCCACTTCTTCACCAGGCCCCTCCCCACCCCCAGCTCAGCCCCAGGATTGGGACAAGCCTCTTCCTCTCTGCCTGATGGCTGAGCTGTCCTCACATGGGGTAGTAGGGTCTTTCCTTCCTTCTCTGCAGCCCCTTTGGAAGAGACCCCCCCCACCTGCGTGCGTGTTCTCTGCAGCAGCAGCAGGGACTCGTGGGAGAGGAAATCCGTCCAGGTGACGTGGCCCTCCTGCCCAGCGTCCAGGGCCCCGAACTGCAGGGCGTGGAACGCCTTTTCTTCCTCGCTGCTGGGCTGCCCCCCGAGGCCCTTGTAGCGCAGGAAATCCTCCAGGCTCAGGCTGCTCTCTGTGGAACCCCCCCCCCCAGGCACGGTTAGAGGGGCCACTTGGCTGCCTGGCCTCCCCCAGGGCAAAAAAGCCCCCCTCCCCCAGGGCTCTGCCCTCCAACCAGAGAGGAAGCCCCTCCCGATGTGACCCCCTTAGTCTCTTGGCTAAGACAGGGGGTTGGTTGGGGGCCAATCCTCCCTGGCAGACGGGGAGGGGGCCTCTGCCCTGTGAAGGAGACCCCAATGGGCTGCGATGCCCCTCTGCCAGTGCTCCTCCTCTGCCCTAAATGGGTTGGGTGGGGGGCAGCCTTACCAGGTGGGATGTTGCTCTGCCGGAAGGCATCGCAGAGGGAGGCCATCTCCTCTTCGGTGAGCAGCGAGTTCAGGTTATCCTGCCCGGAAGAAGGGAATGGTGGCAGTTACAAGCCAGCCGGTCCGGTTGAGGACTGTTTTTCCCACAGTGGGGAGGGGGGGAGGGAGGGAGAGGTGGGTGTCTGCTGAGCCCCCTTTCTTGCCAAGGGGCCTTGGACGGTTTTGCCAAAAGGGGCAAAAGTCATTTAATAACTCAGCATTAAAAAAACCTTGTGTACCTATATCAGCTCCCCCACCAATCTTCCCACGGCTAAATGTACCNTTCCCCCGCTCATTATACTGTAGCAAGGCCAAAAGGACTCACTTTTATCTGTAAAATATTCTTCTCGACATCAAGATGGGATATCTCTGTTTGAAAATGCAAACTTGGGTCCTAAAATCAACGTTAGAGCAAGAGGGGAAAAAATCCCAATTTAATATCAGTCACTTAGTTTTTAGAGAAGCCATGTACCTTCGTCACCCTATCAAATCTTCTGGTCTTCTGTGAGGAAAAATGACACCCTTTGCACTGAAAATGCTAACATTCACTGTCAGACAATGCTTTCATTACATCAATGAAATACCTTCACACAATAGAGGAGCTTTTGATACTACTAAACCTCTTAACTGGGCAAGATATAGAAAGGCTGACTCAGAGTTAAAATTCTGGCATCTGTGTGGGAAGCTGAGGGACGAAACGTAACAGCCTTAAATGGTGTCAGCTCTGCTAAAATGCTACTAAAAATGAAACTTTTCAGATTAGCTGCAGAATTGGCGGAGAAAGTAGGAACACTTAAGGATCGTTTCAAGCATTGGAAATATAAATTCTAGAAGTTATTGGGATTTGTTTGTACAGTTGGGGAAGGCACAGTGATTTCTTCATTGGTAAAGAAAAAAAAAAGAAACTCCAAACACAATTGTTTATATTAGTAAACCTAGGTGCCCTTTTTATGAGGTGGCATTCAGCCGGTTCGGACTGAACCGGTAGAGGAAATCGTGAGTGTGTAGGGCATGTTTTTGAGGTCGGGCGCATGTGTGGAAGTTGCGCGCATGAGTAAAGTGCATGTGCAGAAGGCTGAAGTAGCGAAGCGATTGAGCGTAGGCAGGGCAAGCCAGTAGTAATAAAATGTGAAACCCACTGCTGGTATTTAGGTGTTTTCTTTCTTGCTGGCATAAGAAAAAAAAAAAGCAAATGGAAACTAATTTAACTAATATTAATGTGTGGATAAATGGAAGACATTCTTTAAAGGCTGAAATTCCATCTTTTTTCAGTCCATTTGGAATACTGTATTCAGTTTTGGTCACCACGATATAGAAATGATGTGGAGACTCTAGAAAGAGTGCAGAGAAGAGCAACAAAGATGATTAGGGGACTGGAGGCTAAAATATATGAAGAACAGTTGCATTGATGAAAAGAAGGACCAGGAAACTGGGTATGTCTAGTTTAATGAAAATAAGGACTAGAAAAGACATGGTAGCAGTCTTCCAATATCTCAGGGAGGGAGTCAAGCTTTCTACAAAGCATCTGAAGGTAGAACAAGAAGCAATGGGTGGAAACTAATCAAGGAGAGAAGCAACTTAGAACTGAGGAGAAATTTCCTGACAGTGAGAACAATTAATCTAATAACTTGCCTCCAGAAGTTGTGAATGCCCCAACACTGGAACTTTCTAAGAAGAGGTTGGATAACCATTTGTCTGAAGTGGTGTAGGGTTTCCTGCCTAGGCAGGGGGTTGNCTTTCTAAGATCTTGGCCTTTCTTTGGCTTCTCTGTTTGGCAATTGGAATTATTTGTTCTGCATCCAATTTGGTTTCCTCTGCTGCTTGGTCTTTTGTAGTCTCTTATCACAGTCACTCATAAGAACTTTATCCCCACACACACATTCTATTGCTCTGCTGGTTTGTTACTAATCAGGTTTATGACTTTAAAGCAGTTCCTGCTTTAAAAATGGTGAGCAGGTTGCCATCTTTATTCTACTTTAGCTTTACTTGAAATTTACAAGTATTTTGTCATCTGTCTCACTGTCATCCATTGGCCACATCTTTACTAGTAAAACTGAGTTCTTTCATAACAGTTATTTCAATTTCTATATTCCTTCTTGTGATGAACATGTAACCCACAATAAGGAGTTTTTTTTAGAATTAGCAACAATTCTTGTATAGTTCCTTAGCTAGTCTGATTTTGTACACAGTGCCTAGATGTCAGTACAAGAAGCTGTACCGTAGGAAACTCCCTAAAGTTTGTGTGTCCCTGACAGTTTTTTACCTAATTTCTAACCCAAGCCCCTAATTCTCCACCCCACAGGAACCATAAAGGGCATTCATAGAGCCAGTAAGATCCAACAGACTTCTACTTATGACCAGACAACATATTGTAACTTTGCATTCCAGTTTTCAGAAGTGTTGAACTGCTGAGGACAGTTTTGCATGGAACAACAATCATACAGATCTACATCAGGTTTCTACACAACAGCAGCTCCGGAACTCCTTGAGACTTGCTTGTAGAATTTTAAGCCCCAAACGTATTTACTCAGTTCAACCACGTTAGTTGCTTGATGGAGTCTGTTGGAGCAGTTCCTACCCTCCTCTTGTTTCTACTTGATTTTTCTTACATTTCTTTTCTTTTCTAGCTCCTTTTCCAGTCGGATTCTGCTCTCCCTCTTTCCAGATGACACTTGGCATCCTCCTTGCCCTCCATCCTGATTCCACTTGACTCTTCCATCACTATTGAACCCAAACCCAAGCAGACACTAGGGAGAAAACTGTTGTGTGTTCTCCTTTGACCTCTCAAGTACAAAGTGGCCATAATTGTGGAAACCTGTACGAAGTGTACAGTATTTTTGAGGTTTGATGTCTAATAACACCACTTTTTTTGTTGTTTGCAGAAGTACCATAAAATTATGTATCAATGGAAAGAATGTAATGTAATAGCTTTTATGAAGGATTTGCTATTAGGTTAGCAGTTATAAAGAAAAAAGTGAAACATGTAGAAAAAATGAGATATACAAAAATTATCACCATGTCAGTTAATACTTAGTTGGGTAACCTTTAGCATGAATTGTGGCCTTACAACATCTTCCCATGGAGTGAACCAAGTCTTTTAGTTCTGCAGCTGTTATAATGTGAAACCGAGACTGAATGATTTCTTCTATTAACTGGGTTTTATTGTTGTCTATATTTGGCTATAACTTTTCATAGAATACAGAAAATTGGGGGGAAAAACTTTGTGGCATTACATTCTTGATTAAATTATCTTTCCATTGATATATAACTATATGGTACTACTCCAAAAAGAAAAGTGGTGTTATTAGCCACCAAACCTCAAAAATACTTTCCCCAAAAGGTTTCCACAATTTTGGCCACTACTGCAAGTAATTTTGTGTCCCATTCAGTCTCTGACTCCTGTTTATTTCCTCATATGGCTTTGCTAAGCTGTCCGCTTCCTGTTGTTCTCCTTAGGCATCTCTTCCAGGCATGCTCTTTCCCTGGGTCAAACCAGTCTGCATCAAAGTCCCCAGGTCTGCATCGTTTGAACCGCTCATCTCTACGTCTTTTTATATGATTTCCAAATTCCAACTTTTGTTTCATCCTCAGTCCTACGGGCGACCATTCCTTCCCATCAGAAGGTCCTACATAACATTTTATTGCAGGCTGCCTACTGTTCATTGAGAAAATCTCAAGCCACGGTCTCATTACCGATTTCCTTTCGTTTAGGTCCATTTTCCTTCATTTTGTCCCTGGCTAATTACAAACCCTGGACACCCAGATTCTTAGCACTCAAGTTACTGTCTTGCGTCTCATCGCAAACACTCTGTAGTTGCTCCAGTTTCATTTCCCTAACTTTATTGCAACCTCCTGCCTTATATTTGCATAGATGCTCTGTTTAAAATGTTCACGTTTCCATTCTAAAGCACCAGCTTCCCCTCCTGGATGAAGTGGAAGTATGACAAGCAATAGTCACGTTGACTTTAAAAGCAGAATAAACTAATTGTGAATTCTGTAAGATGCCTTTTGTCTAGTGTTTAAAATTCATTTTTCTCGAATGTTATTATTTTTCCTGACAGAACAATCAGTGGATTGGCTTGCAAAGTTTGGATAGCCATTTGTCTGGAATAGTATAAGGGTCTCCTGTTCGAGCAGAGGGTCCAATTAAAAGACCTCCAACGTCCCTTCCAACTTTGTTATTCTGGGACTTCTAAATTTTAAAATACTATCAGCATTCATGCAAAGGAAAGCGCAGGGCAATTTGTCTATGGAGATTCTCAGTCATCCAAGTTCCAAAGGTGTTTGTTTCAAGAGGCACCTGGATTTTCTTGTTTTTCTTTGAAGACCTTTTGCTTTTCATTCAAGAAGCTTCTTCAGCACTGACTGGATGGTGGGAAATGGAAGAGTTTATATTCCTTGCTGGTCATTTGCATCCTTTTAGAGGGTCATTGAGGCCACTTGGAGGTTTATCTGTATCCTCAGGGTCACCGGAGTAGTGCAAATGGGTGGAGAGCCTTCTTGGAACTGCTGAAAGGACTGTGTGGCAGACTGGAGATAAATGTTGTCTCCTCCCACTCTGATGAGAGAGGGCTGTTCAAGTTTTGACATAGATTGCCTCTTTGACCCCTCTTTCAAACCAGACCCATCTATGTCAAAATTGAACAGCCCTCTCTCTAAGACAACTTCAACTCCACTGAAGTTGTTGGCTACTCTGGTAATGAGACATTTGGAAACCAGCTCACAAGCTTGGAGAACGAACCTTCACCCTCATTCTCTGGGTTTACAATGTCAGCATATTGCTCCCAACAATCTGGGTTCTCATTTTACTTACCTTGGAAGGATGGAAGACTGAGTCAACCTTGAGCCCGTCAAGATCTACTTCCGGACCGTGGATAGAGTTTATCTGCAATACTGCGTTTAACCACTGCCCCATAATAAATTACACTATATTGCCAAAAGTATTCGCTCACCCATCNGGAGAACCGGTAAATACCATTTCTGGCTGGCCCCACCCCCATCTATTCACTGCCTCCCGACTGCTAGCTGATTGGGAGGGAATGGGGATTTTGCAGTATCCTTCCCTTGTCACACTCACCAAGCCACGCCTAGTAGTAGTAATACCAGTAGTAACATTTTTTGAATCCCACCACTGATTAGTATATATCAACCGACAAGGAAAGGGATAGAAGCCTTTCCTGGATTGATATCCAGAAGTTGTAAGAGACTAAATGAGGAGAAACGAGCTTAAGCGGAAGTCCTATGAGACAAAAGTGCTGTGTAATCAACTTGCTCTATTAGAAACATTGATCCCAAAAGTTTGAATTGGGGGTTTCTGGTCCACAGGTAAAATTTCTGGCCCATGTACCTGGAATAAACTTGGGAACTGCATATTGAATCTGTTTAAGGTAGAAAGAGTGGGAGCAGTTTGGTCTCGTGGTTAAGGCACCAAGCTAAAAAGCAGGAGTTCAAATCCCACCTTAGCAGTGGTGGGTTTCAAATCACGTTCCAACTGGTTGGAACAGGGCCAGCAGTATACTCATGGATGCACGCAGCACACATGCACACATGTGCAGCACATGCATGTGTCTTAGTGCCTCTGCAACACTTTGTGACATTCCAGCTGCTTTGCGGAGCGTCGCGCAGGTGCTGTATGTGCCATGCTCCTGTGCAGAAGCACAGGAGCCTTTAAACACCAGTAAGGAGCTTGGGCGGGAGGGTGGGCCCTCCGGAGCACCATACCGGAACGGTATCCGGGGCTCTGGGCTGGCTCTGGTACGCTCGTACCGGGGCATACTGCCTGCAACCCACCACTGCACCTTAGCCATGAAAGCCAGCTGGATGAAATTGATTCAGACACACACTCTCTCCGCCCAACATACCTCACAGGACTGTTGTGAGGAAACTAGAAAAGGAAGATTCATTGGGTAGGTTTGCCATCTTTAGTAATTTGTAAAAATAATAATGGCGAGATACAAATAAGTAAACAAATAAGTAAATAAAACCAAAGTTATAGTGGAGTCCCGAAAGCCTATCTACAACCACAATTTTGTCGCCCCTCCCCACAATCATTTTACGGCCATTTGAAACGGCTCAGTCATGTGATTGAAATTTACGATGGTTTTTATGGAAACTGGCATTTATTTCTGATATCTGGCAAAACTAGCCCATAGCAAACAATGGGTTTGCTTAATGGTTGCTGTAAAAATGGTCATAAAATTGGATTAGGTCATATGTGACCTGTTTTATGATTGTCACAAGTTTTGACCATAATTGTCAGGCTCAATTATGGCTGTATGCCTAGGACTACCTATATACTATTTATAGATGGAACAGTGGCTTTGAATTCAGAAGGTTTTAATCAGTGCAAATAAAGAGCAAAGAATAGTGGGGTTAGCATGCTTATAATTTGTATAGTATACAATTTGAGTGGATCAGATTTAATGGATCCTTGGACACCTTTTACGAACTTTTTGCTGAAAGTGGTTTTTAAAAAATGAACTGTCTATTTCTGAGTTTCCAGCTGAGTGACTTTGGGTCAATCACACACTCTCTCTCAGACTAGCTTACCTTACAGGGTTGTTGTGGGGAAAATAGAAGGAGGAAGGACTGTGAAATACATCTGCCAATTGAGTTCTATAAGAAAAGAAATTGGGATAAAAATCTAAAAATGGGGGGAAGGTTGAATATGAGAAGATGGGAACTAGATAAGGGGGAAGAAAAGCTGATTGTTTAACTTTCTTTTTGTCTCTATTTCTAGCCCTTTTCTGCTTTTCTACTTTTATACATTTGTTTTTATTTATTTCTTCATTATGTAAAAACTTTAAATAAAATTATAAACAAGTAAAACATGCAGTGAATCATGATCCACGGAAGCTTACCACCACCACCCCAATGTTATTCTCAAAGATGCCACAAGTTTTTTGTTGTTGTTGATGATGATTTTTTGCAGCTGTACTGTGGCATTGTTTTCTGCGGAAGATGGAATTTCCCCTTTCCCCCCAGGTATCTCCCCCACCAATTTACAAACGGTGATGGTGAAAAGTTTATGCAAAAGAGA